GCAGCGCATTTTCATATGAAAAACCGACATTTTTGAGGGCTGCTGAACAAAACGATTGAATGATTCTCAATCATATTATGTCATTTTTCCAATCTGTTAAAGAAATTCCATTCAAACTAAGCAGCACCTCCACTACCATTGCCACCGCTAAGAAAATTCTACTTCTGCCCACTGTGTTTGCTGGAGAATTGCTTTCCGCTGTGGTCTCCAAATTAACTGTGAAACCATTCAGTCTCTTACGAGAAAAAATTTATCATCCATTAAAAATGCATTATTAATTCGCAAGGAACCGAAAATTAAACCCACTACACTGCGCTGAAGAAGGAGTTGTGGTCATCGCGATGCAATGGATTTACTGAACAATGTTTCCATAAACATTACGATTAAAAATTACTTAATTTCAAAGCATTCTTACAAAACACATCATAAAAGTCCTTCGTGCAGCTGTCACAAAATAAATAAATTTTGCATGGCAGATTCGAATAATTTGTTCTTAGATGACAGATTTTTTAGACAAACCAAGGGTACACTTTCTGGCACAAAATCTTCCTCTTTTGAAAAATTTAACAGAATTAAAACTGTGGCGCTAGGCTCACCGGTTCCTGAATTTCTCATTGTTGTTCGTTCAAAGACAGCGATATCGGCCGAAAACAATTAATGGCTCCATCTGGTCCAGCTTATAGGCTGAAAGAACAGGAAATCTGCTCGGTACGCGAAGCAATAAGTCCGAACTCTTTCATCCAATTTAATCACAATGCAGATATTGTTTTCATAATCTTTTTAGTGCATATTCACTCATTTTAGTGCCCTACCTTTCCAGTTGCGGGGCAACGCCGTTTAATGTTTTGACAAGTCACTATGGTGGAATCTGGCGATCTCAATTGTATGGATTCCAAAGTGCGACAACGGCAGGTCATGAGCACGATGGTATATGTGCCATAGTTATGAACTTTGCTTGTTCAGTATACTCTATCTACTTGGGGAAGGTCTGTTCCAGCGTGTCCTGCGTCTACGCGATTACCAGTTTCACGTCCAACAGCACTCCACGACCCTATCGCCCATAAACTGTAGCTGTCGCAAAAATACCTATACAATAGGATGGAGAACCAGCCATCTTCAGGTGAGAAAGGGCTTAAGGATAGCAACAGTGCTACTTTCGATGAGAAACGACTGTGTAGTTAAAACGAGTAAGAAATGTTTTAATAAAGGAAGCAAAAAGAAAAGAAGACATCTCGATGTTAGAAACAAAAAACAAATATCAAAATCGTACCATCTTCAGCTCTGATAGCATCGAATGAGTGCTCGAACATAGGTGCGGTCCAGGCAAATGTCTGGTAAGGAGTTGTGACT